CCATTTGAACAGCAATCGGCATAGGAAGATGGTTTGTCTATGACAGTCTGCCTCGTTTAAGATTCCATCCACATTTCCCCTCTCTTAAGAAAAATATTGTCTCAAAACCAATCAGATAGCTATCCAATGACAGACAGACCCTATCTGGCATCATTAAACTTCCTGGCTCCCATAAGCCTGAGAGATGATTCTAGGATCATTAAGGTTCCTGTCATAGTAGCCCAACATATAATGTGTTAGAAAAGTTGGGTGTGTGAGCATAGTGGACTGACTGGTTTAGGATCTTGGCTTATCTCTCACACTCCTCCATTTGATCTTCCCCAACCACCCTTCTTTCATCCTTGCATACCCCAAGTCAGTCTACATAGTGACATATCCTAGGAAACTACACCCTATGCCATTATGTACCTTGTCTATGTCACACAAAGGATTTAGTATCTCACCTTGTGAGACAGAGGCCTTCTAAGAGTCCCATGGGCCTAGTCCCAGAGCATTCAGTCAGCCCCATCTATATGAAGAGTCATCTGATATGAATGAATTTCCCAAGAAAACCCAACTCCTGCCCACAGCCCCTAAAGCTTTTTATCTGGGCCAGTTGGTTAATGTTGACATGCCTAGGTTGCCTCTCTGTCCCCTGACAGTCTCCAGCAAATGGTGTCTCAAAGACTGAGTACATTTCTCTTCACCCAGTACCTCCGTACTCTCCCACCTGGGGGCCAGTGCTTTGCGGATGGGCCCTTTGCCTCTGCAACGCCCAGGTATCTTATCCAGTCTGGTATTGCCAAGATCCCCAAGCCAGTGAAGAGGCCTCACTGGCCAGGAGTCCTGGGGGAGATGATGCTTCTTCTGGGGCTCTGCTTGCTTCTTTTGGTGAGTAAAGCTAACGAGTAGCACCTTGCTGGCATGTGAGCTGATCTTTCCACCCCCTTCCTTCCAGCTCTGCTTATAGGAGGCAGACACAGAGGGAAGGAGTGACACGGAGGCCTCGGGCCTCTCGTGCCTAACACTTAATAGGGAGAATATAGACAATAAAGGAATGTGACAGAGCTGTAGTAGAGCAAATGCTAGTCACACAAAGATGGGGTTGGCCATTCTCTCTTGGAGGTCGGGGTAGACTTCCCAAAAGATATGGTCCCTGCAATGGGAGACACAGAGGAGCACAGTCTCTGTGATAATAGCGGAGTTGGTAAGTCAAGAGAAAGAAGTGTGTTTTCCAAAGCAGAAATAAGTAGCAAAGAGAGTGCAGTCAGCCCTCCAAATGTGTTAGGACACATTTTCAGGGAGGAGCCAGAAAGATAGTTTAGTAGGTTGCATGTTTGCCTTGCAGGCATGAAGACCTGAATTTGATCCCCAGAACTCATGTAAAAATTGAGCATGCCGGCACATGCTTGTAAACCCAGCTTTGGGGAGATGAAGACATATGTATTCCTGGGGCTTGTTTGCTAGCAAGCCTAGCTAAATCAGCAAGCCCAGTTAAAGACCTTGTCTTATAAAACAAGGCAGTTAGCAATTGAGGAACACCTGATGTTGACCTCTCGCCTCCACATACACACACACACACACACACACACACACACAAAGAATTAATTGAAGGCCGGGCATTGGTGGTGCACACCTTTAATCCCAGCGCTCAGGAGGCAGAGGCAGGCAGATCTCTGTGAGTTCAAAGCCAGCCTGGTCTCCAGAGTGAGTGCTAGGATAGGCTCCAAAGCTACACAGAGAAACCCTGTCTCAAAAAACCAAAAAAAAAAAAAAAATTAATTGAACTTATACTGAACAAGCACAGAATTTTTTTGTCATTATCCTCTAAACAATATAGCATGGCAACTGTTTACAGAATATTCACACTGGATTAGCATATTATGTTTATGTAGTATTCATAAATATAGATGAATTGAGGTATATCACAGGGTATGCATGAGTTATAAACAAATAATATGCCATTTAATGTAAAAGACTTGAGCATCCATGGGAGGTTCTCGGACCATTCCCCATGGATGCTAAGAGATGACAGCATTTGCAGCAAAGTTTCAAAAACATGAAACACCAGTCTTTAGCTATAGGGACCAAAGACTGGCCCCATGGCTGGAGCTTAGGCTGTGAGGCCAAGGATGAAATTAAAACAATTCATCTTTCTAGCTAAATTGTGGCTAAGTAAACCAAGAAATTTAGGCTTTGTCTTCTAGGCAACAGGTAAGAATTTTTGACCGAATGAAACTATGTGAGGAGACTTTAACTTGTGGTAAGCAAGAGAGTAAAAGGTAGGGAAGGACTAAAGAGGTGGAGCTATGAGAGCAAGACCTTTCACAGGGTGAAGGCAAAAGAAAATGAGATACCCCCAAGTCACATCGAAATGGGGAACTCTCATTTTAAATTCTCCAGAAAGGGTGCCTCTTATCTTCCCCTTGCCTTCCTATCACCCAGTTGTATGCCCTGTAGATTCAATGTAACCAACTCAGCTGGGTTCGGAAGGCTGCTCCACACCCCATCTTCAGAACTCACCAACAAGAATATAACCTTGGTGTCTACATCTCCTCAAGAACTGGGATGACATCAGTGAAGAGAGGCCAATCACACCAAGAGTGTGGGATCCTCAGAGTTGAAGAGAATCATGGTAAGTGACAAGCTGGGGTAGAACCCAACTGATGAGCTTCTTTCTGCCCATCTTTCATCTTTCTGGGTTACTCTTTGCTCAGTTCCCACCATCATTCATTCACTTGTTTTCTCAGAAAACATTTACTGAGTGACTACTATATACAGATGCTATTAGGCACTAGGAATACAGTGGAGAGTGAGAAAGAGACAACTAAACACAAATTTGTCAATGGAAAAGTAGCATAACCATGTACCAAGGACTCAAATTAAAAAATGGCAATGTCGGGGCTGGAGAAATGGCTCAGCAATTAAGAGCACTGGCTGTTCTTCCAGAAGACCAGGGTTCAATTCCCAGCACCCACATGGCAGCTCACACCTGTCTGTAACCCTGAGCTCTCACACCCTCACACAGACATACATGCAGGCAAAATACCACCACAAATGAAATAAAAATTATTTTTTTAAAAAGAAATGGCAATGTCACTGTTGTCTGGCATGCTGGTCCATAGCCAACCACCTTGGATTCCTTATATTTGAAAGGAGATTAGGAAATAGAGATTGGTAAAGGAAATGGATTTATTTTTAGTTTGGCCCAATCAGGGAGCTAAAGAATCTAATTTCTATCCACTAGGCTTGTGGCAGTATTGCAGTGGTTTATATTTAGCCTTTATAAGACAAAGGCCAGAAGATACAGAGATTTTGGTGTGGAATTGTTGACTGGGTCTTTTCTTGGAGAGAAGGCTACTTGGCCCCAGGCTGCCTCCACCATCTCTGTGCTCAGTAGACGGCCTCTATTCACAGCACAAAGGGTTGCTACATCTTACAAATTATGATGGCCCACCAGCCAGAGGGCCAAACTGCAAAACGCATTGTACATCCTGCTGAGGCTTCCCCCTCCAACTGGTGCCACTCAAATGTGGTCAGAGAGCAGGGCTGGGATTCAGCTGTGCCTCTAGAACTTCATATGCATAAGATTCCCAGCTGAACCTGAAGAAGGGGGAGCTCTTGGTCCCCAGATGATAGCTGGGAAACTAGCATGGGACTGACCCAGACCCCAGGAATCTGGGTGTCAGTAAGGAGGCTTCGGAAATCGTGGGGCCTTCTATAGTATATCAGTACTTATCCCTAGCATAGGTGTGGACTTTGGGAGCCCATTCCACATAGAGGAATACTCCCTGAGCTGAGACACACGGGGGTGGGCTAGGCCCTATCCCAAAGGACATGACAGACTCTGAAGACCCCCTATGGAAGGCCTCACCCTCCCTGGGGAGCAGAAAGGGTATGGGATAGGTAGGGCTTTAGTTGGGGGGTGGGGGGAGACTGGGATTCACATGTAAAACAATCTTGTTTCTAATTCAAATTTAAAAAATGGAAAAGCCGGGTGTTGGTGGTGCATGCCTTTAATCCCAGCACTAGGGAGGCAGAGGCAGGTGGATCTCTGTGAGTTCGAGGCCAGCCTGGTCTCCAGAGCAAGTGCCAGGATAGGCTCCAAAGCTACACAGAGAAACCCTGTCCAGAAAAAAAATGGAAAAAAAAAATTCCCAGCTGTGGGGAGGGGTAACCTGTGGTCTTCTGAATCCACAAGACAGTGGCCAGGTACAGCAGTCTGCATTTCTGTCAAGTTTCTCAGAAACACTAGTGGTGTTTTTACAAGGACCATGCCTTTAGTAGACAGGCCGAATCTGGATCGCTGAGAGCCTGTAAGAAGGCACACTGCAGATCTGCATCTGGGGAGGCTAGTCATGCTTCCCATCCCCCACAGGTGGGACCTGGGAGGATCAGGTAGACCTAGAGTGGTTTGACACGGAGGCCTTCTTTGAGATTCTGCATCGGCAGTCTCTGACAGTGACAGCCAAACTCAGCCAAACCAAGGAGCAGGTAACTGGAAGCCCCCCGAAGGTGCTTCCACTCAAGGCTGGCAGAAACAAGGGGAACTAGAAATGGACTATGAGGGAGGGGAAGACATGGGGGAGGGGGGCTAAGAATCTGGGGGGAAGAAAAGTGGGATGGATAGAAGATTTCAGGTTAAATTAGGAGGCGTTTTAGGAAACTTAAAGGTTTTAGAAAACTTAAAGCCTAAGAGTTAGGGGAGGGACCTAGCAAGGCCAAATAAGGGGCCTCAGGTCTTCAGTGACAGGCATTGGAAATGAAGTCAATAAAATTAGGCCAAGAGATGGGAGTGTAGCTCAGTGACAGAGCAACTGCCTGGTGTGTTGGACACACTGAGTTTGACCCCCAGCTCTGGGTTGGAGCCTTGAAAGAAAAAATTCATTCTTGTCAGTTTTATTGATGTCTTCAGAGGAGGGGTTCTCTGGAGTCTCTCCAGATATTGACAGCAGAGGGCGCTCTAAGCCTAAAGTAAAAAGCTGATGGTTCTAGGATGGCATTCTTGGCTAACTCTATCATCTCTCTCAGCTCAAAGTCCTCTACCTTAAACTTCTGAATGAAGCTGGTTCCCTCCGACTTCTGTGGCGTGCTCAGCACCGCACCTCAGCCTCCACTAACCAACTTCTGGGGAGCGCCCAGAGAGAACAACAAGAGGTTGGACTTTGAATTCCCACCCAGCCTCTGTGGCCAAGCACAGCTGTGCCCCCTCACAGTCCCCAGGCTCCCTCCCTGAGAACCCTCCCACCCAGTCCACCTCCTTGGCCCCTGCCCACCTCCTTGGCCCCTGCCCTGGGCCTTCTGGAGTTCCAAAGGAAGCTGGGTGTATAGTTCCCAAAGTCGCTGTCCTGGGTGACTGAATCCCTACTGGTAAACAAGTCAGTGTCTTTGACCCAGGCTGCTGAGGCAGTGGCCCTGGCTGCAGAGGAAGAGTCTAAGCGGAGGCAAAGCCTGGCAGGCCAGTATGCAGCAAGCCTTAGTCACCAGCTGGAGCTCCTTCACCAAGACCTCTGTGCCAGGCAGGGCCAGTGGGCCTCTTTCTGCTCCGTGTTGATGGAAGCTCAGTGGCTGCTAAAGACACCTTCAAGCTCTAACCCAGGGAAGTCCCCCCAGCCTGGGCAAAGCCCCAAGGGGTATGTACCTGGTTAACCTGAGTCAGTCTTTTAGGGAAGGAATGAGTATGACTTCACAGGGTCCCAGAAGTAACCATACTAACGTGTCCTTTTCCCATGCCTCATTATCTCTGCCCTTTGACCACCCTGTCATGTCCTGTGTCTCTGCAGGGTGCCTTCTCAGCTGGACATACTGCTGGGCCACTTGTCCCAGGCCATGCTGCAAGAAGGCCACCGCTTGAAGGCCTGGGGCTTCCTGGGCACTGGCACAGGGGCGGAGCTGCTACAGCCAGGTAAGCCCCACTTGGACTCATCTGGGGTCTTCGGGGAGCTGGTCTCTGCCTTGAAATTAGTCCCTGCATTCCGGGTGACAGGCACCACAGAAACTCAAGTTCTGCCCCTAAGGCACCTGCAGCAGGGAGCGTTGAGGGGATTGCAAAGCAGTTGAGTGCCCCGGGGGTTGGGAGGGGGTTCCTGTTCAATGACCCCACACAAAATAGAATAGGGAAGTTCAGAAATAGGGAGGCCAGAGAAGGAAATCATACAAATGACAGCTTTGCAGACCACGTGATAGTTCTTTAAAGTAAAAGCCAGGTATAAATGTGAACCATCAATTTTGGAAAGTGTTGGATTTGCCTGGAAAAGATATCCCTTGGTGATTTAAAAGTATGCTGAGTTCTGGAAATTCCCACCCCCAACTCGATACCCACATACCTTTCCCCAAAGGACCCCCAACCAGCCTGTAGTCTGACGAGATCTCAGTGGTGCATTCCAAGGGAAAAGCAAAAAAACAAGGCCTCTGTCCTGGGGAGCACCATCCTTGTGGGACTGGGGTGAAGTTCTTGCTAACTTCTTCCTGTCACCATGAAGACTTGTAGCCTTCCCTAATCACCTCAGGGGAGGCCCAGCAGGCAGCCTTTGCTTTCCTGCAGCCTCAGCGTGTCCTCAAGAGGGTGCTGATGACATCATCGTGAATCCTGTCACCAAGTTAATGGTTCCTGGGCCCAACTGTATGATGCTCCCAGTCAGTGGCCACATGGGGCCCATACCCCCTGGCTACTTTATCCACCCTGACACTGGGCGTGTGCTGCCTCAGACTGGACACCTGGGATATGATCTGCTGAAGGCAGCCCTGATACCCATTACTGACTATAATGCAGGTAAGACCCTGGCCCACTAACTAGCCCCAACCTTACTTTGGGTTTCAGAGACAGGGCAGAGCTCCCTGGGGACCTCAAGAATGAATACCCAGGGACCACAGCCCAGGCAGCAGGGCTCTATTCTTGGACAGGGGTCTTGATGACTAGCAAACTAGTAAACACCTCTTTCTCCTCCTCCTCCTCCTCCTCCTCCTCCTCCTCCTCCTCCTCTTACTATTTCCACTGGATTCAGGTGGCACAAGCCTTTTATCCAGCACTTGGGGGGCAGAGGCAGGCAGATCTCTTGTGAGTTTGAGGCCAGCCTGCTCTACAAAGCGAGTTCAAGGCCAGCCAGGGCTATACAGAGCCTGTATACCCTGTCCAAAAAAGGGGGGCAGAAAACTGTTCAACAAATGAGAACAGGTGTTCACAGCTACTTTTTTTCCCCTGATCTGTAGAATGGGTGGGGGAGGGGAAGAGGCAGGAGGGGAGGCTGGCAAGTAGATGGGTACCCATACCTCCCTGTCTCCCTATCCAGATGTTGTCCGAACATCAGAGGTTGCTGTTCTCCCCTACTTGCCCTACCCAACAAGTCCTGTGACAGGTTGCCCTCCAGCCACTCGCCTGCCTACCCTACAGCCAAGAAGAACATCACAGCTGGGGGCTCTCATGTCTGACCCCATCACAGGCATCGAAGTGCCTGTGCTTGCTGTGACTCTGCACCCCCAAACAAGGCAGTGGCTCACTCTTGGAGGGACATACTGCAATCCTCTCACCAAGACATTGGCCCCTTTGGAGTTGGGGGGCCCCATGAAGGACCCAGTCACAGGAGGCATCGTGCCAATTCTAGGCGTTGGGCTGGATGAACACACAGGTCTGGCAACCTTTGGTCTCTTCCACCCTGTTGTCCCTGTCTGGCCTGGATGCCCAATTTCTCCCAGCCTCCAACTTCCTCTTGCTCTGGCCAGGCTGGAAACTATGCCCCATCCTCTCTTTCCGCTCTGCCTCTGCCTCTCTGTTAAGCATCCCCAAGATGATTTTACAGTAGAAGTAAACCCAAGAGGGCAGCTCTTCCTGCCAGTACCACATACTCCCCTTGTTCTTGTCCTTGGTACTGCATGGCCCTGCTACAGCTCACTTTTGTCGTCTTTCTTCTCCCATATGCCTTGCCTTGCATATTTATACTACCAAGGATCTCTTTCCTACCTAACCTTTTAGGTGTCTTGCTTCCAGGTCAGGTGCTTGCAGTGGGAGGGCTGCAAGATGGCACAGGGAGCCTCCTGCTGCCTGGTGACAACTTTGAGGAGCCACTGAGTGGGAAGACAGTCCGGCTCCTGGGAGCTTCCCAACAGGCAGGCCAGCTATTACCCCACCCAGGAGGGTCACAGGCACTGCTGGATTCCAATGTCCTGGTGGCCCAGAGGCAAGTTATTCTGAGGCTCCAGCAGTGTCAGGAGACTCCAGGGTCCAGGGCACAAGGACTTCTGGAGTCTGCCATAAGGGACATGAGACGAGCACTGGCTTTGAGTCTCCACCACATCCTCCAGCAGGCACAGAGACTGGAGAGACAGTTGCAGGCAGCACGTGACATTGAAGCCACTGGTGGCTGTATAGGTATGTGTTGGTTGAGGCCCTGAATTCCCAGTTCCAGCTTGGCTGCATGTTTCAGCTCCTCTCAGCCCAGCTCAGGACAGGGCCTCGGCTCCACTGGCCTTACACATGTGCGACCAAAATAAGAGACTAGATAGAGACTTTGTACCCAAACCCTGTGAGTGGCTTTAGGCTGCATTACTCTTTTGTTCTCTTAATAACATTGAGTCTTATAATTTATGTTTATAAAATACACCATCGTGTTCAAGCCAGGCATTGGTGGTGCACACCTTTAAACCCAGCACTCAGGAAGCAGAGGCAGGTGGATCTCTGTGAGTTCAAGGCCAGCCTGGACTACAGAGCAAGTTCCAGGCCAGGTTCCAATGCTACACAGAGAAACCCTGTCTCTCTCTCTCTCTCTCTCTCTCTCTCTCTCTCTCTCTCTCTCTCTCATATATATGTTTTCATAAGGTTTCCAGGCACATAACCAGCATGACACACATTTTACATGGGGATCCTAAAGTATAAGGAGTTGAGTGACTTGCCCAGCAAAGGTTCTGCAGCTAGTTGGCAACAGAGGCAGGCCCAAGGCTAGAATCCCTAAGCCCTCAACCCCCTCCTCACTGTTATTCCTAAAACGGTCTTCCTTTTCCACATATAAACCCAGAAAGGGAGCTGGCCCTACTGTCCCACCTCCTCACTATAACCCATATATATATATATATATATATGTATATATATATATATATATATATATATCGTTCTGGAGCTTATCTCACATCTCACTCTTTCTAGAAGCTTCCGCCTGCTCGTGGTATAACAAAAAAAAAAAAAAAAAAAAAAAAAAAAAAAAAAAAAAAAAAAAAAAAGAAGAAGACGACGACCCTGGGGGTTAGAACTGAGGATCAAAATTACAGTACTTCCCAGACTTAGTTAAAATAAAAGACTGAATAAAATATAATTTATATGGACTTCTTAGCTCAAATTCTGACACATAGAGGGTAGGTACTCAGGAATATGAGTTCCCATCTCATCCCATCCCACTTCTCAGTGTGGCCTGGAAATTTTTCTCGGCTTCCCAAAACATCTGATGCCATTCAGGCCATGGTAATGTCATAATGTCTTCCCTTCTGAATTAAAAATGCCATCTTGGATCCAAGGGAAACACAGGCAGTGTTTAAACAGCAACCTCTATGGTCAGGGATGAGGCACTTAAAGCCTGGGAAACCTCAGGTGGTTTTGCCTAACCCCCAACTCCTCTTCTCCTTATATTAGGATTAATGTGCTACCCTAGGACTGAGCTCTGGGTCCCAGCCCTGTATGGAATGGAGATTCCAGACCCTGAAGGCTCTGGGCTTATGGTACCTATCCTGGGCATGCATCGAGATGGGGATTCTGGGAATACCACACCTTTGGCTGGCACAATGGAGGACACTGCTGGTAAAGGTAAAAGGCAACTTGGAACCCCTAAAGCTCCAGGAGGTCAGGAATGTGGCTTAGTCCCTGGTAGAGAAAGCCTTGGAAGGATAGTTGGCCCTGATGCACTGACACATAAGCCAAGAGAAGGGCACGTTCTGATGATTCTGCTAAATTTCTGAGAGCCCCAAATAAGATGTCAAAGGTCTCAAAATGTCAGACCTGCAGATCACAGCTCTCCCCTGAAAGATCAGGGTCCTTTCAAAGATAAGTACTAAGAAACCATCCACCCTCACACAGCCACCTGCCCCAGCTCAGAGCTCTGAAAAGGATAAAGGGGACTCTGGGGGCTTCTTCCCATGACCACTCTTCTTTCCTTCATCTCCATTTACTAAAGTCAGTGGCGGCTTTGACATCCCACAGGTCTTGTCCCAATCTCCATTGGGGCTCAAGCCATCGATCCCTTAACCGGGGAGCATGGTCCTGTCATTGGTGCTCACATGGATCCCTCTGCTAGAGTGGTGGTGCCTGTGGTACAGCTGCTGGAGGCCTTGCCACGTGGAGTGAGGGACCCCAATCTGGTATGTATGAGCAGCTGTTCATTCTGTTCATTCACTCACTCAACAACCACAATGTTGAGAGCCTTGTAGGTTCCAGGCAATGTGTGCACGGTGGAGATGCAAGGCAATTGGGCTTCTGTCCCTAGGGAAGTGGTTCAAACCCTGATTAGAGGTGACAATGATGTGAAGGGAACTCAGAGGAGAGACACTGAACCCTATTAGAGAAGAGTTCAAGGAAGGCTTACCACAGCAGATAATGCTTGGGCTTGAAGATGAGGGCAGAGAAAGCCACTCCAGCCTCATGACAGCAGGACAAACAAAGATGCCAAGAATGAGGCCATAAATGTGTGGAAGTAGAATGATGGATAGATAAAGGAAGCAGAGAGGCCCGTGAGGAAGGCAGGAGATAAATGGCAAACAACCTGTGTTCTTAGAGGCTAAGAAGTGGACTGGGAAGACCATGCAGAGTCAATGAAGTCCAAGTACATATGCAATAGGCTAAGGTAATTGTTTTTAAACCTTTACATTTAAAAACTATGGAATATCAAAAAGTTATTTATAAACCCACTCCATTTTAAAATTACATAAAAGAAGAAGCAAAAGGCCCTTTCCCTAGCAACCTCTGTACTCACGTCACAGGTCAACACCCCAGCAGAGACCTCTTGCAGATGCTACTTCCAGTCTCGCCCACCAAATGTAGCCACCATTAGCAGGTTGTCACTCCTCCTTCCAGACGTTTTATGCTTATGTATAACCAGCATTCTAGAAATTTCCCTCTGGCAGATGTGCAAAGGATGTATGGAATAGAGCCAGGCCAGTGCAGGAAACCCTGTCAGGAGGTTGCTGCAGTAATTCAGCTCTTGGCAGACCTTCATCAAAATAAAAATGATTTAGTGTCTTACCATACATGCTGAGCCTAGTTACAATTTCAGACACAAAGATGGATGTGTGGTAGGAGCTTCTTGATAGAAACTGGGACACTTAGAGTCCTACCACCACCATTTCACAGATCAGCATGAAGGAGTCAGGCTGGTAACTAGTCACTTACCTGTCTTCTCTGGCTCCTCAAGAGAAACACCAAGGCAGGAGGCTCAGGGACTCTGCAAAGACTAGGCTGTAAGAAGGAGGGGATGGCTAGGGAGCTAGAAAGAGGTATGGGGTTGTTTCCTATCTCCAACCAAGTCAACTGCCTCACCAAGTCAGGCATGGCTGGTCAGGGCATCCCGAGAAGCCTTGAGGTCTACAGCCAAGCAATGGGTACCTGTGGCTGTTCAGAAAAGCCTGAGCAGTCTGAACATTGCAGCAGATCCTCTTGGAGCAGGAGCTAAGGGCCCATCAGCAGTACTGGCAGCTTCGGGAGCAGGAGGAACAACAGCTGGCAGAACACTTGTGGCACCTGAGCCAGGAGCTCCACTTCTGCCCTGGCCATGAAGCCACACTGCAAGTAAGACCTAAAGGACCATCTCACCATTTCCACTCTGTAGATGGTTCGTTGTTTTTGTTTGCTTGTTTTTCTCTTTACTCTTTGAGGGGCCCACCATCCAGCTCCCAAATAGTCACACAGAGACTTATTCTTTCTTATGAATGCCTGGCCTTATCTTGGCTTATTTCTAGCCAGTTTTTCCTAACTTAAATTATCCCCTTTGCCTCTGGGCTTTTACCTTTCTCTATTTCTGGATAGCTTTTCTTTCCTTCTTATTCCATGTGTGCTGTGTGGCTGCATGGCTGGGTGGCTAGCCTCTAGCATCTGCCTCTCCTTCTCATTTTCTTGCCCCTCCCTTTTCTCTTTTTCTCCTTCTATTTATTCTCTCTGCATGCCAAGCCCCACTTATCCCCCTCCTGCCTAGCTACTGGTGGTTCAGATCTTTATTTGACCAATAGGGTGTTTTAGGCAGGCAAACAGAGTTAAACAAATACAACATAAAAGAATGCAACACATCTTTGCATCATTAAACAAATGTTCCACAGCACAAACAAATGTAATACATCTTCAACTAATACTCCACAACACCACTCATCTGCCATCACCATACAAGTTCTGCTTTTAATGTCTAGAGCCCTTGTTTCCCCATTGGCCACAAGAATAGAATCCATCTCAGAGTAGACACAATCTCTATCTTAGCTATTTTTCTATTTCTGTGACAAAATGCTATGACCAAGGCAACTTATAAAAGAAACTGTTTAATTGGGCATATGGTTTCAGAGGGTTAGAGTCCATGATGGTGAAGCATCATGGCATGGTGGAAAGAACATATGAGAGCTCACATCTTGATCTGCAAGTAGGAGGCACACTGGGAATAGCATGAGTCTTTTGAAACCTCAAAGCCCCATGACACCCCTCTTCCAATAAGGCCATGTCTCCCAATCCTTACCAAATAGTTCTGCCAGCTAGAGACCAAGTATTCAGATATATGAGTTTATGAGGGTTATTCTCATTCAAACCACCAGAGTCCACAAATTCATAGGGCACTAGAATCTCAGTCACCCCTAAGTCCCTCAGCTGTATGAAAGTAGAAGGGAGGCTGGTATGAAATGGCCAGGCTTAAAGCCCTGCCTTCCCTCCATGGCCCAGCCCTTTGTACTTTGTGTCCAATCTAGCTGAAGGCTGCTGAGGAGGCCTGTGCAGCTCTGGAGGCCTGCTACTTGCAGGAGACAGAACGCCGAGCTAGAGCCCTGAGCATGCTCAGCAGCCCAGAACGGTGCTTGCTTTCTCAAGGTGGGTAACAGGTCCTAGTAGTGGTTACCTTCATCCACCACTGCCAGGGAACATGAGAAGCCTCTCTACCACCTGAATGTACTTATCTCTCATTGATTCCCACCAGGCCCCATCTCATACCTAGCAGGTTCACTGGCTCCAATCAACTGTTAGCTTTTCTTCTCTCCTACTTACTATGCTGCTAGCTATTGTTTTGTGGACTTTCTCTTTGCCCTTTGCAGCAGACAAGAAAGAGTGGGAAGAAGAGGCGCAAGTGCTGCTGGGCGTGCGAAAGGTCCTGCATAGTTTAGGACAGGCATCAGAAAAGCTCAGGAAAACGTCCACCAGGCTGCAAGGCCAGGCAGAAGAGGTGTGCCTGCAGCAGAGTGAGGATCAGAGCCCACGTGTCTGGAATCATCACAGGAAGGTGGGACCTGAGGCTGGCAAGGGGACCCTATGGGATAAGGACATCATCATCAGAAGGTTCTCCCAGGGTCATATAATATTCAGGGGCTGATGGGGCCCAAAGATCACTGGATAGACAAAGAGGAGCAAGCAAAAAGAGTAAGAAAGTCCATTTAAATTTGGCATTATGCTTCCTGTGTTATAGGTATTACAGCATCTCTCTGATGAGTTCCGGGAGGTAGTGAGGGACAGGCAGAACTTCCTGAATAGGGCTCTTGGAAACCTTCAATACCACCGGGAGCTCAGCCACCTCCAGCTCTTGCATATCCAGGTACTGACCCTCCGGACTTGGCCAAAAAATCTGAGTTTCCATCTTTGATAGGAGATCCACGGAGAAACTCCCAAAAAGGATTTGTGAAATAGGGGTTCCAAGCATGGAATTCAGTTCTCGCTTTCATCCTAGGTCACTGTCTCAGGAACTCCTGTGTGTTTGGAGAACTATCCTGGAGACAGATTCTATGGAACAGTCACTACTTGTCTGGGGAACCAGGCTGCCCTCTGCCCCCTGCTGATCCCTTTCCTGAAAGGCATCACTGCCATGCTCATAGAGGATCAAGGCCATCATCTAGGGCTGGAGGACCAGGCACCAGCAGTGGGTAAGGTTGGTCACTTGCCCACCTTCCTCTTCTTTTGACAACACCATTCATGCTTTGATACTCCTTATATGGCAGTTAGGGCTTCAGGAATCACAGCATCAGGCCACAGTGGGTTGTTTAGGAAGGACACAGAGAAACATGATATATTAGTTATCTATTGCTATATAACAAACTACCCCAACGTTTCAAGGCTTCTTAGGTTACAGTTTCTGTGGGTCAAGAATCTGGGTAAGGTTTGCCTCTGGCTCAGGGCCTCATGCAGGCTCCAATCTGGGTACTAAGCAGGGCTGCAACATCTCAAGGCTTGACCTGGAGGAATTCACTTCCACACTGACTCTTGAGGTTACTGGCACATCTCCAGTTTTCACTGGCCGTTAACCAAAAAATATCAATACCTGACCGCAGAGACTTGACAGTGCATCGCACAGCCTGCAGCTGCCTCCCTCAGAGCTAACAAGCAGGAGAGTAAGTGAAAGCAGCAAGATGGGAGGCTTTGATATAATCTCATGTGTCAATCTCAGAAGTGACAGCCCATCACAGGCCCTATTTCATTCTGTTGAAATGAATCACTAAATCCAACCACACTCTAGGGGAGGAACTCATACAAGAGCTGACACACATTGTGAAAGATCATTGAGGCCATCTTAGAGGCTGCCTGTCACCATATTTGGTGGGGGGTGGGGAAGGAGAAGAGGGAGAAGAGAGCTAGTTAGCTGGCTAGCTGTACTGGGGATTAACCTAGAGGCTTTCACATGTTAGGCAAGTAAGAACCCTACCACTGAACTGTATCTCTAGCCTGTGTTTTTTCTCCCATCTTTTATTTTAAGGAAAAGTTTTACTAAATTGTGCAGATCAGTCTCGAACTCACTCTGTAGCCCAGGCAGGCCTTGAACATGTGGTCCTCTTATCTCTACCTCCCAAGCAGCAAGGATTATAAACCTGAATGACCAGGTCTAGCTCTTAGGCTCTTCTTTCACTTTGGCTACATAACTATACTTTTACTCACTCACTCATATTCAGATGCAGACAAAGCTGACAATATCTGGACCCCACCATTATTCTCCATTATGAAGAAAATAGATACCTTGTTCCAAGACCCCAGGGAAATAGCTGAACTACAAAGACAAATACATCTCGGACCACACAGACCAGGTAATCTCTTTTCCCTTGAAAATTACTATGGTGTACTCAAGGTAAATGATGATGTAACCTCCAAGCCCCAAAAGATATTGAACCCAAGGATATTGGATCCTATCTTACCAGGCATCATTTCCTCCTTGCCTCCACCCCTATTAAGTCTCCCAAGGGATTTTTCCATGTAAAACATATCAGGCAAGAATCAAAAGATCATTGACCCATAACCTAGTCAATTCTTTCTCTTTTTTTTTTTTTTTTTTTTGGGGGGGGGGTGGGTTTCGAGACAGTGTTTCTCTGTGTAACTTTGGAGCCTGTCCTGAAACTCACTTTGTAGACCAGGCTGGCCTCAAACTCACAGAGAACCTCCTACCTCTGCCTCCTGAGTGCTGGAATTAAAGGCAAGCACCTAGTCAATTCTTAGAAGAAAGTTCCTAAAGGTATTTTGCCTTCCAATCAAATGCTGAGTCTAAATCTTTGTATTTAATCAACATGTTAAAAGGGAGTTCACAGGACACATGAGATACAAGGATACAAATGAGAACCAACAGAAAGAATATTTTGCCACCCCCAAAAAAGAGCACCCAGATCACTTTGCCAATGTGGGGCATTTTACAATGTCATGTAGTGTTCTGAACCTATGGTAACTCATTTACAACAACCTGCAAAGGTAGGTATTAATATTCACTTTATAGGGGAGAAAAGTGAAGGCTCTGTATAGGCCAAGTAAGTAGTCAAAGATCCATTGCTGATGTGTGGCTCAGCTGAAACTCCGGGAACCTTCCCCAGAGTCTCACTCTCAACCTGCATCCTAAAGAAACTATCCAGGACCATGAGGCACTGCCAAAAGAGATGCGGGCAACTTCCTTGATAATGAGATTGATGACTACCTTATATGCCACCCTAGACCCTTCATCCAGTGGCTGATGGAAGCAGAGGCAGAAACCCACAGCTAAACACTAAACTGAACTCCTGGAGCCCAGTTGCAGAGAGGGAGGAGTGATGTGCAAAGGGGTCAAAATTGGACTGGTGAAACCCACAGAAACAGCTCACCTGAACAAGGGGGAGCTTAGGGACCCCAGACTGATGGCTGAGAGGCCAGCATGGGACTGATCCAGACCCCCTGAATGTGGGTGTCAGTGAGGAGGCCTTGGCAATCTGTGGGGCCTCAGGTAGTAGACCAATATTTATTCCTGGCACATGAATGAACTTTGGGAGCCCATTACACATAGAGGGATGCTCTCTCAGTCTGGACACATGGGGGAGGGCCTAGCCCCTGCCTGGGATGCTATGACAGATTTTGGAGATCCCCCATGGAGGGCCTCACCCTCCCTGGGGAGCAGAGAGAGGATGAGGGGGACTTGCGGAAGGGTTGAGGAGAGGGAGAGGGAGCTAGGATTGACATGTGAAGCAAGCTTGTCGCTAATTTTAAAAATTTTTTTAATGAAAAGAAAATAAAAGAGAGATGCAGGCAACGTACTCCTGTGAATGTCCAGGAAGGCAGATTGGTGTGTATCAGGAAAGCCAGGGCAGGCTTGTAGGAGAGCAAGCTCTGTCTCCTAGCATGAGGATTAAAAAAAAAAAATACTTTAAACTCTAGTTGTGGCTCTTGGCTGGCAAAGCCAAAATTATATACTATCTGGACCTGGCCAAAAAAATAAATAAATAAATAAATAAAAATAAATTTTAAAAAAGGGTTACTGATTCTGATTCTGGAGGTTGATCAACGTGATTAATTCCTTTCATAGGAATTGATGAGAAACAAGGGGAAAGACATGAACCCTCATTCAAGGATAACCCTCTCCAACCATTGTAAATTCTTATGCGTACTGTCTTGTTTGCCCCCGAGAAAATCTAACTCTAATTCTATTATTCATTTCTTATATAAATAAGAGAAACAATACTCAAAGATGCATGTGACTCTCTCAATGTCTTACACAGCCCGTGCCAAGACACAGGTATCCTGATGGCTACTTATTACATATTGCTGGCTAAGCCATTTTACATTGTCCTCTTAAGAATAAGACAATAGAAGTGTCTAAAGTCCCACTTAGATAAATACCCATTTAGAGCAATTATCTGGAGGCCCTTTAGAGACAATTTTATAGATAAGGAAAAATCTGAATACATCAGCACGTATAGAGTGCTTGCTGTATGCCAAATGATATTCTGCATATAGCATGTCTAAGGAGCCAAACAACTTTGGATCTACTACTGAGAAAATACTGCCACCTCTTCTGTGCCTCCTCCTAGGTCTTCTGTTCCTGTTGACTGGGGCTCATTTTTCCATGTAGATGACTGGGGATGCATGAGGCACAGGCCTCCCTGGAGGATGGACTGACAGACAGACTGACGGATGATGGATAGATAGAAATAAACACTTCCCTAAGTTGAATGGTCATTTTATTGTTATTGTCAACTAATCATTACTGCATTAAAAAATCAGTGAAATTATCACTAACTTGTCTTGATTTCTGCAGGCCCAAGAAACTCTTTGCAGAATCTCCTGAAGACTCAGACGATGCAGGGAGAGCTGGTAACTGTGCAAACCATGCACCTTTCTGCCTGGGAGTTTGTAGTTTACCAGTATGGTCTCTCCGTCCTGCACCTCCTCATCCCCCAGCTGCAGGTACATCTGTTTCTGGCATTCTGTGAGGCAGTCTCCCATGAAGCTGTGGAGGTCAGGGTGGCCAGGAAGAGACTCAAGAGGCATCAAATTATCTCTAGGAAGAAGTTCCTGCAGCAGTGAACTGCCTCCCTTAGGGCAGCTGATGGGAGCTATGACAGCAGTCTCAAATCAAACCTTTGGATGGATAGTAGCCATGTGCAGAAACCAATCAAACACTGTCTTTTGTTGATAATTTTCATGAGGCAACTCAATTGTTTCAAAACTCTGACACTGATACAATTATTTTTTCCACTTTCAAATGGAGAGAAAACGATGCAGAGTGGTTGGGTCAGCTTACCCATGGTCATAACCATGAAGGCAGAACCATGGTTAGAATCCAAGCTCTGGGTCTGTCAGTCTAGGAGAAGCAGAGGGCTGAAATGATTGTTGTTCCTACAATCACAGTTGGTATAAATATAAAACACACAGCTAAAAGCTTCATCTTCCAGCAGTGTATTCTGATTCTACTTCCCCTGAGTGTACTTATAATTTAAATGGATGTTCCAGTGCACTTATTTCCTACTATGTTTGATGATATATAGCTGAGGACAACTTTTTAGCAAAGGATGGGTTTTGGTTTTGTTTGCCATTCAGGCTCCGGAAACCACCCTACAGATTGCTTCTCATCTGCCTGCCATGGAAGTCACAGGAAATGCCTTTGAAGGTTCCTTCTTCTATCAGGTGATGCAAATTCATCTCGGGATGGGGGCTTTTGGATTCTGAAATCTGGTCAAGGCACACAGAAGCAAAAGGAACCAATTTTATAAAACATTTTTCTCCCTCAAACCCTAATGAATTTTATTCTCCTTTGAGGGGGGAAAAAGCCATTTAACTAAAACATAATAAATGTCAGTGAGTAAGAGCTTTTCTAATCAGCAAAGTAAAAAGTCCTGGCTGGTGCCCAGTGGAGCATAATGGCTTCATGCCCATTTATGGATCTATGGCATTGTACATCTGGTGTTGTGAAACTGGTATTTCCCGTAAGAGTCATGGGCCCAGCTTCAGGGTATCTTTCACAATCATATCTCCTTATAGAAACAGTCCTGTATCTTTCCGGCCTCTGTAGTTCCTCAAGTCCATAGACTGGAAGTCTCTTCCTGGTAACTCCAAGCTGATGTATATGAACTTTAAGCACTGAAGACAGTCCATTGGTAAACTAGTCAATGTGACCAAGAAACAGTTTAAACTGTTAGTAATGGATTATTGGGGGCTTTAATAAGAACCCCCAGGACACATAGATAGATAGATAGATAGATAGATAGATAGATAGATAGATAGATACATACATACATACATACATACATACATACATACATACATAAATACAAAGATACATAGATACATAGATAGATGGATAGATAATGCTCATTTGACCTTCAAAGAACTATGAACTCAGCAAGAATTTAGCTCCATTTTACTAATGTCCAAGGAGTTGGGGCAGTGATGGGAGGAGGGGAGGGGGGATTCTCATAGGCAAGGTATCAGGCCCTTAGTTAGGTTCCTTCTATGTGTTGTATTGTTTTCAATTTCAGCAACCTTACAGGATAGGTACTCTTTGCCTCCATTTTGTAACTGGACAGTGGAGGTCTAGAGATGTTATATAATAGTCTAAGTGTTAGCAAGAGTTGAGAGTCTAGTTCTGATGTATTTGTCACACACCTCATCCCCCTAATCCATCGCTAGTTCAAGGTACAGCTCTCAGACCCATTCCAACCATCTTAAGTTTTTCTGTGCTAATCCACTGCCTCCTGGGAGAATAGATGAGGGTGTCATCTCAGAAAAGATGTTTCACAAGTGGTTTGAGAACCCGATGACAATGAAAGCAAAAGGATGGAGCCTAAGATCCTCTCAGGCCCTTACTCTTGACCTGTGATCTTGGACTGACTGCATCAACTGCCTAAGGAGTATGCAAATGCCTGGCCCCACCCACAGCCCCAAGCTAGACTCTGGAATGGGCTTTGACAATACTACCATCTCCTTGGCAATGTCCCTTCAACCTGAGGGCTGGAAAAGCACTGCCTAGCGAAAACCTTGATCAGGTGGCCCCAAGAAGAGTCACCTGGTTCTGAATCTCAGTCTGTCTTCTGTAAATGGAAGTGTTCTTAAACAATTAAGAGATGGCCACAGAGATGGCTTGGTGGGTAAGGGTGCTTGCCACCAAGTCAGACCACCTGAGTCTGCTCCCCAGGAGAGAACTGACTCCCTCAAGTTGTGGCCTCCACATTCATACACACACACATACATACACGCACACAACACACACACACACACACACACACAGAGAGAGAGAGAGAGAGAGAGAGAGAGAGAGAGAGAGAGAGAACCCAGGGAGGGCAGCGGATAAATAAATGGGAGAACGTAGGCAAAGTTATTTTTTCAAAGTTGAACTAAAACAAACTTTCTTCATCTCTGAAGCTTCCTTTCAGTAAATCTTAATCATGCCCAAGGAGTCTTATTTTAAGTGAACTGAGAAATGTGGAAATGCTCACAAGATTGACGTGTCTTTGCTCGGGGCATCTTTTCCACACAGAGCACTGAAAACACCTTGTTTGTTGGGAGAGAGTGTTTGGCCTCTGTGGGACGTTTCGTTCTGTTGTTGATCCACTGCCTGGCCCACATCACTACTGGGGACTTCAACCAGGACTGCAACCCCAAATTTCTGGGGTCGTTTTATGAGGTAGTTAAGACATGTACAGAACTTCTCTTTCTCTGTGACTCAAACGTCATTCCACAGGACAATAAATGCTGTAAGCATTGAAATATTTGGGGTCTATTGGAGTCCCATTGGTGGCCTGACTGACTGGGAAAAGGCTGTTCCTGGTCAAACTTCCGGTAATAGCATATGACAGAATGCATGCTCTACTGGGGATGCAGACTAGCTCTGAGGATAGTATCTCAGCTGTGGCAACACTGTCAATGCATAAAGCTCACCAGAATTGTTGGGGAGAGAGCAGGTGGAGATGGTCTCGAGCCCCATTTTGCTTTCAAGCATCATTTGAAAGCTTTAATAGCAATTACTCCAAAGTCATACTGAGCTGTCCTTTCTCTTCCTTAACCAGGGGCTGAAAGCCTACTTCAAGGAGGCATTCTCTACTACACTGCAGATGTCAGCAGTTTCCTGGGACAGTAAGTTCGACCAAAGCCTAAGTGCTGTTCTGCTGAAAGAGCAGTCCACCTCTGAAAAAGAAAGAGATCTCCTCTCTAAACTCATTGAGAGGAAGTGTGAGCCTTGCTTGTCAAGACAGTCATCAGAAGAGGTAAACTACATTTGTCTCAGATATCACATGGTCTTAGTTAAAAATCAACTCCCTCACAAAGAAAAGGCCTTGCTGTGTGGCCCATTCAGATAGGTCCAACACTTCCTTGAGTTGTCACTGCCTATTATCAATAAATAAGCAGAAGTCTATTGTAACCTCATTGTGACTCAGAGACTAAATGTAAGTGACCAAATGATCCTACGTTTATCCAAACATAATGTGCTGTTTTCTATGCAAACTTGACCATGGTCTTAACAATATACCATTATTAAGGACCTTTCTGAAAATATCATCTCATAATCCTTTTAAGAATTAAAAATAAAAGATCCTGGAGATACTTCTCCACAAAGAACAATAAAAGTTGCCTCTTATGGTTAGTGGAAGAGTGAAGCAACAGAGAGACTGGGGAAAGAAGAGACTGGAGGCAACAGTACAGCAAGAGAAACAGAATATCTCAGAGACCTGCCACCCTGACTTCACAGGATGGGGAGTCTCACCCACTCTATCAGTGCTGATGTTGGCAACTGTAGCTACTGGATAGCAGTCATGGCTCTCAAAGGCCAGCAGACCACTTAGACAAGTAACCTGAAATATGCATAATAGCCCTACTTTGGAATTTGGTTTCTGCTTATATAAGATATACCATGACCAAAGCAATTTAGGCAAAAGGTTTGCAGATTATAGTCCATTATCAGGGGAAACTAAGGTGGGAACTCAGGCAGAAACCTGGAGGCTAGAAATGAAACAGACACCATGGAGAGACACTGCTTACTGGTTTACTTTCAGGCTCACATCCACCTACCTTTCTTATGTATTGCAAGTTCTACCTGCCCCAGGATGGCATGGCCCACAGTTGAGTGGGCACCCCACAGTAGTTAGTGATCAACTACATGCCCCATAGACATGCTCACAGGCTCAATCTCGTGGACTCAATTCCCTCTTCTCAGGTGTGTCGTTGATAACCAAAATTAACCATCGTAAGCCCAGCCCCTGTCAACTTGGGCACATAAATCTACACAGTGAAAACTATAACAGTCTCTTTCTTGCTTGCCCTCCAAATCTCATGTTCATGAACATCAAATGCAGTACAACTTTAAAGGGCCTCACAGTCTAAAGTTTTTCAGTGCTTTAAAGTCTCAGATCTCTTTAAGAACCCTAAGTCTCTTGACTGTGGGCTTCTGTAAAATCCAAAACAAGTTACATACTTTCTTATTTCAAGAGGAAAGAACCAGGGCACAATTGCAATCAGATCAAAGCTGATTGGTTGAGTGCCCTGCACTCTAGGGGCAGTGTTGTAACACAGGGGAATGGAGGCTGTCACCAATCCAGAACCATTATCAGTGCACTCAATTTCTCAGGCCAAAGATGTGGCTAGCTACCAGCCAGGTATCTCCCACCCCTTCACACTGTACTGAACTCAAGATCCTGTTCCTGTTAAGCAGGGAAGCAATACTGTGGTTCACACTGATGGCCTAGCCACCTTAGCAGGAGTGTGCTGAGGGGCTTAAGCAGCTCTCTGGCTCTGCCTATCACCCTACTCACAGGCACCCATTAGAGCTGTAGGAGTAGGGTAGAGCAAATGAGCACAGCTCTAACCACACACAGACAAAATTGGGCCTAGAAGAACCTACCCTAGCATTCCCAAGAATGCACTGACGCCAGGCATGCATCACCAGCAGCAGAAAGGAAAACCATAGTTCCTGCTGCCACTCTACCTATAGATTCTCCACTGTTGCCCCACCCCTGCTTCTTGTCTGACCACACACTGCTGTCAGGACAGAGTGTGATCAGCACAGAAGAGTGCTGCTGCCCCCACCATTGCCTCTCTCCATGCATGGTTTGGGCCAGCATCACTGACTGCTCCAAGGACGAGGTGCTGCAGGCCCCTCACCACCACTAAGGCCACCGGGGCTACATAGAGGCCCTAATATGTAGTTGAGCTAGCAACAATAGTGCCTAAAGAGACTCCAATCATCCAATAGGCACCAGGACTCCCATTGAGGTAGTGGCTATACAGTAAGCACCCCATATTTAATGAGAAAACCAGATCCACTGCAATGTATCCCGCATTTTCCTAAATACTAGTATTCCCATCTTGCAGAGCCCACAAAGGTAGACAGGTCTCCTTGACTCTACCACAATTTGTACTATGTAACATCATTAAGCATAGCCAAAGATTCTACAGGAAGACTACACTGCAGATATGTTGCTTTGGGCCCAGGGCTAGGCATAATATCATTGCATCAGAAGCAAGCATCTGAGACTACTCACTTCATGGCACATAAGAAGAAGAAGAATAGGAAAGGACCAGGGCCCAGGTCCTTTCAAAGGCATGCTTCCAGAGACTCACTTCCTCCAAGTAGCCCCAGCCTTCCACAATTCCATCAGCTCCCAGCAATCTTTTGAAAACTTGAATGTATCACTGGATTAAACCATTAGTTTGGTCAGAGCCTCATGATGTTTCTCTCTAGAGCTGTCCTCATAGACACACACACACACACACACACACACACACAGAGAGAGAGAGAGAGAGAGAGAGAGAGAGAGAGAGAGAGAGAGAGATGCCTTACTGGTGACATTGGAACCTCTCAATCCAGTCAAACTGGCCACAGAATTCTGTCATAATCCAACTCCTGTAGATCAGAGACCAGTCAGTTCTCTGTCCGTGTTTCTCAGCAGCATTGCACAGCAGCATTGCACATCTGCTCACTCTCTCCTCTTCTGTACATTTTCTTCACTCAACTCCCAGGACATTGTCTTCCTCTGGTTTTCCTCCCACACTTCTGGTTGTTCCTTTCTGGTCCCTTTGCTGCCCTCTCAGAATTAGAGGGCCAAAATTTAGTTCTCTGGATATCTTCACCTCCTAACCCTCTAACACAACTCATATATCAAATTCCTTATTAATTATATCCACCTAGTTGGCTACGAAGCATCACTAAACAGGTCCAAGATCCAATTTTTATCTTTCCAAATGAGGTCCACCTAAAAGCATGCTCATCTTGATTGATGGCAACTCCATTTTTCAAGTTTTTCAAGACAAGGCTTTCAGAAACACTCCCCTGTGTGTTTACACTCCACAGTCCACTCATTAGGAAAGTCCTGTTGTTCCACCTTCAAAACACATGCAGAGTTTGACCACTGTTTGGTGAATGATACTGCCACCACTTAGTCCCAGCCACCCATCCAGTCATCTCTTGTCTGGATTTCTTTATTGTCCAGATGTCTTGATACCGATTGGCCTCCCCAACACTGCCCTTGCCTCTCTTCAGTCTGTTCTCATCACAGAAAAGTGTCCTTTTAGAAGAAAAGTCAGATATCCTCAAAACCATTTTGTGACTTCCCATTTCATTTGGAATAAATGGGCGGAGCCAAGTCCCCCTCACCTACTGGTCTTTGCCCACTTCGTTTACTCAGATCCAAACGCTCGGTATATACAGCTTATTAAGTGTCCCTTCTGTCCGTACTGTTCTTCCCACTACAGCAATACTTCTTGAACAGGAGTGATTTGTCCCCCAGAGGATGTTTGGCAATGTCAGAGACATTTTTGTTGTTATGACTCAGGAGAAGGAAGTACTACTGGCAAATAGTGGGCTGAGAACAAGGATACTGCTAACTAGTCTAGAATGCATAGAAAGCCCTCATAACAAAAAACCATCTATCTCAAAATATCAAGTAGAGTAGAGCTTCAGAAGCCCCATTCCAAGGCATTAAAATGCCCAACTCCCTCATCTCCATTGTCTTTGCTCAAGTCAGCAGCCAACCCTGACTGTACTACCTTATTTTTCAATCCTTTTTATATTCATTCACAAATTCTTCCTTACTCTGCTCTATTTTTGCCTGTTCCTCTATTGCTTTCCAAAATACAAATTTGACTTGCTTGTACTGTTTTACTGTTTTTCCTCCTTTGCTACAGTATGAACCACATGAGAACAAGGATAGTAGTTGGTTTTATTTTCTGATCTAGCCCATCTACTAGACTTTATATGTACTTTACTTACTGTCTAATAAATTCCTGTTGAACTACATACATAATGTCAGCTACATACTGACATTATCACAATCTACCAGAGTCAGCTATATGAGGGGTAATAGGAACATTTTATATATGCCTGTCATGTGTCAAATGTTATGCTGAAAATTTTACATGCCCTGTCTCACTAAGTTCACTTCTGGAATAGTAGACCCAACAGTACTTAAGAGCAAGGATATTAACTCTGTCCTTCACACTCTTGACAGTACATTAAGAAAAGCAACGAACTTCTCCTTTTCACTAATATGGAGCATTTCCTAAAAAGCATCCTTTCTGAAGAGCAACAAATCTTAGTAACACCGAGAGCTGGACTCCGTGGCAAAGAGAAGGTGAGATGCCATTTCTAAGGAGTGATCGATAGCCTTAGAATTATACTTTACTATATACACTTTCAAATGTATTGGCGTGTGTTTAAGGTCATGTTTATGACTGGACACAACAGCAGAACAAAGAATTGGGAATTAATAGTGATATGGTTTTAAGTACATTATTACTTAAAGAACTTTTTCTGTACCAACAAATCTTAGATCTTTGAGTTAGAAAGAACCCAAGAGATCATAGTTTGTTCCTCTACCCTTATGTGGATTAAGTGTTAATTGCAGAGAAAAGGGACTGAAGAGGGCTTGCTTCTTGTCACCCCATGAAAGAGGGGAAAATATCTAGAACTTGAGTCCACTGCCTTCTCACTTAGCTGCTATTGATTTGTAAAACACCATTTTTAATCATATATATTTCAAAATGTTATGAGTTTTGTTTGTGGTCCTGGAGCCAATCAAGAGCCTTGCACATGCTAAAGTGGCACTCTACCAGTGAGCTGTACCCCCAATCCAAAATGTTGAGTCTTTAAAAGTCACCAAAATTAGTATTTGATAATGTCTTTGAAAATACTAACAAAGAAAGAACACCAATGTCTTCCTTTCCCCCATGTAGAGTAGTGGCCTACATAGGAAAATCAGGATCAGAAATTAGCTACTGAAGAAATAACTGGCTCCAGTCCTGGCCTCAATTCACTTTGTTTAAGATTATCTCTAATACCTGAGATGAAGACTACCTTTATAATTTTGTTAAAGTGTTACACAACTTTAAAAGCAAACAAATCATATTCACATGACTCACATAAGCATATAGTTTGAGGTATACATAGAGCATAATAGGAGCTGTTTGCTCCTCAAATTTAGGAAATAATTCTACCTTCACAGGTTGGTTTGTATGTGTTCACAAAACTGACAGAACAATCACAAGGGATGAGTCACGTTATGTATTGTTTCCATTATTCAGCTTTGGGATTCATCCATATTTGACAAATAGTCATAACTGGGTTCTCTTTGCTGTATTTCATTGTGTGGACTTACTCATTCCACTAGTGATGGATATGTGTGTGTTTTCCAGTTAGGAATTACTATAGTTAGTCCCCGCTACCTTCTAGTGACCACGTGTGATTAAGGTTAGTTAGATACCTAGAAAGAGAAACTCTGGATCCCCGGAATGGCTTTTTTAAAAATAATTTTATTCTTTGAAAGTTTTATGCATTTATATAGCATACATTAATATATCTGTCCACCACTACCTTCCTCCAACACCTCCAAACTGTCTCCATCCCAACTTCATGTCCTCCCTTTAGGTTTTTTTGTAATTAATAACTCTGAATCCGGTAGTGCTGCTCATATGCATATATGGACAACTATCAACTGGGACATGAGCAACTTACCAGTGGCTACATCCCCCAAAGAAGAATGACCCTCCTTCAGCACCCATCAACTGCCATTATCTCCTTCAGTGGGGGTGGGATCCCAAGAAATCAGTATTTTTCAGCTTCAGTAAATACTAACTAGAATTCCAAAGTGATGAACTATGTACTGTCACCATAGAGCAGGAGAGCATTCTCATCATCAACATTTGTTATTTTACATCTCTTGTATTTACCCATAAACTACCCATTGTAGCATACGGCAGAAAGTTTGAATTTTCGTTTTGTAATAACCACTGAGACTCAGCATCTTTCTAGTGTAAATATTCAAATGTTTGAGCAACTTCTTCTATAAGGAAGCCTTTAACTCTCTTGCCCATTTCTCTCTGAGTTCCCTATTTCCTTACTGATTTCTAGAAATTATTTTCCCTAATTTTATGAACCTTTTAAAGATAAAAGTAACTATCTTTTTTCTGTTTTATTTTTAGATCTAGAACGGAAAGTGGTGACCACATTTTAGCCAGCGTGCAAAAAAAAAAAAAATCAGTACAACATCTGATAAAATGTAAAAGATTTTTTTTGAAAATATCTGTACTATTCATGCATAAATCATACAAATGTATATTATAGAATCTTCCATGGAAGAAAGGAACTTGCTGTTGTTTTCACTGTAACTGAATTATATCTGGTGTTTCATTATTTGTTAAATACACTGACTGACCTCTTCCTGGAATAGTAACATCTGTATTAATAAATAACATGAAGTAGATATGTAGCTACAGTACTTAAGATGTAGACTATATGACAGACAAAATTCTCTGAATGGATTGGCTAGAACACTCCAGTTGGTACGATATCAGAAACTGACATTCCCACGGTGAATTAAAGATCAGAAGAGATATGAAATGATTGCAAGAAAACTTTGAAATACAAAATCCAGACTTTAAAACCTGCTGAAATTACAATCCAACGGCTGCCATTCAAGGCTTTTCCCATACAGGTAATTCTCTTACTTGCACTTCAAGATGGATAGCAGAAATATTTTTAATGCAGCAACTGTTAAGCAGCATCCTCAGTTATGGAAGGAAGGCAGACTGGTGAAAGATTAAAGCTCCATGCAATAGGGCTGGAGTTGGAGCTAAGTGGCAGGGAGTCCACAGATCCTAGGTTCAATTCCCAGTACATGCCCCACCTCACCAAAACAAAACAAAAACCTGTACACAAACTTTATTTGGGTAACTAGTAAATAGTAAGTAATCAATAAGTTCATTGTTTTTGCTCATTTTTTTGTTTGTTTTTGTTTTTCCAGTACTGAGGTTAGGACTCAGGACCTAGAACCTGGGACCTTATACACACGAAGCAAACACTCTACCAATGGAACTATATCCCCAGCCCCACACTGGGCATTACCCATTCAACAATTGGTGAAATTGTTGATCTTTTGCCACAATTAAGAGTTGTCAAAAAAAGAAAAGAAGAAAGAGTTGTCTTTAGGTGGCTTGGAATTTAGCTCTAAGTTCAACCAATCAAAATACTAGTGGAAATTACTTTAGAGAAAATACATTTAAAATACTTGAAGCCAAGCATGGTAGCACACACTTGTAATCTCATTACTTAGGCTGAGGTAGCGGGTGAGTGAGCTCCAGGCCAGTCTGGGTTACATGGTCAAACCCTGTTTCAAAATCCAACCAAAACCACTTGAGTCACCATAAAAGATTTATATTAAGGTTTAGCAGAGGTTTGTAAAGCAGACCATAAAGACACCTGCTCCGAGGCATTCTTCTGTTTCTTCCACCTGATGTCAGGCAATGAATCTGACCTCTTTCTGCTAGCAGCTGGCCTCTTGGCTTACTTATGTTAAATAGTTGGGTTAGTTATCCAGTCACTGTGAAAAGTAAAGACTAAATGTTGTTTAAATGACAGGGGCCCCATATGTTCATATATTTAAATGCTTGACCCCAAGTTGGTGGAACTGTTTGTTTGAAAAAGATAAGGTGTGCTGGTGCCAGGAAGTGGTGACATACTCCTTTAATCCCAGCACTTGGAGGCACAAGCAAGCATATCTCTGTGAGTTCAAGCCCAGCTTGGTCTACAAAGTGAGTTCCAGGACAGCCAGGGCTGTTAAACAGAGAAACCCTTTCTCAACAACAACAACAAAAAAGGGACATCAATTGAGAACAATGCCTCCATAAGTCCTGTTGGAGGGTAAATTCCTAATTAGTGGTTGATGGGGAGGGCACAGCCCATTGTGGATAGTGCCAACCTTGGGCTGGTGGTCCTGGGTTCTGTAAGAAATCAGGTTGAGCAAGTCATGTGTAGCAAGCCAGTAAGCAGTATGGCTCCATGGCCTGTGCATCTGCTCCTGGCTATGGGTTCCTTCCCTGTTTGAGTTTCTGTCCTGATTCCCTTCAATGAACAGTGATGTGGAAGGTGGGAGCCAAATAAACCCTTTCCTCCCCAAGTTGCTTTTGTCATGAAGTTTCATCACAGCAACAGCAATGATGACCAAATCAGAAAATGTGACCTCATGGAAGGAGATCTATCACTGGGGACAGGCTTAAAGGTTTCAAAAGTCCACGTCATTCCCGGCTGGTTCTTTCTGCCTCATACTTAGGGATATACATGTGAACGCTCAACCATTGCTCCAGCACCATGCCTACCTGCCCGCTGTCATGCTCCTCACCATGATGCCCATGGATTCACCCTCTGAAATTGTAAGCCTCCAATAAACTCTTTCTTCTGTTGTCTTGGCCATGGGATTTTGTCACGGCAATTGAAAAGTTACTAAGAAAATGTGTGGGCTTTAAAATGACCACATTCGTTGCCATTCTGATTAAAATCGATTGCTGCTTTGAAAACACAAAATGATGTTTAAGTATGAGGTATGAACTGTTTTCCCATCTTTTCCATGAATGAGGTATCTTTTTCTTTTATCAGTACTGGAGACTGACCCTGGGCCTTACACATCATGTTCAGGAAGTACTGTACCCCAGCTGCTTTTAACTTGCAATTTGGAGACATGATCTCATTAAGTTGCCTTAAACTTGTTAGCCTCCTCCTGCCTCAGTCTCTCATATAACTGGGATTACCAGCCTGAACCACCAAGCCAAGCTTGAACTGGGCACTCCCAAACCAAAATTTAACAACTTCACAATATTAAAAAAAAAAAAACTCTCCAGCACTTTCAGTTTGATTTATATTGGGTGTGTGGCCTCAATAACTTTAACTACTCAAATAAATTATGAAATACATTTCCCATCAAGCAAAGTAAAGATGAATTAAACCAGGCACACAAGACTCCTTCGGATAGTTAGGACAAGAGTCCAAATCCCCTAGGAGACGTGTCAAAGAAAAAGTAGTGCAGAAATTCTTGCATATTCCTCACTCTTGGCTGAACACGGCACCTACCAGAACACAATCCTATTAATTCTCTGGCCAACTCTTCAGGCTTTCCATCAGATTTCCATTAATATACTAATAGCGCTAAGCTTTTAGCAAGCTCATGCTTCATAATGGAAAAGTCAGAGACCCAAGGCAGGATCAATTCTCCATCCCACTGCATTATGTGTAATTACTGCTGAATCAAGCCAATAGCAAGTTTCCTTTGTGAAAATCTGAGGTGCGGGTTATCCTGAGGGAACTGCGTGTGTGCAAACACACATACATGTGCAGATAAGAAAACTGCAGCACACATGGATCACAAGGATTGCTGTGACAAAATACCAGACTACCGCAACTTAGGAAGGATTCTGCTTTGCTTATGGTTTCAGAGGACTTCAGCTCATCACAGCAGAAAAGGCACAGCAGTAGGAGTGGCTCAGTGCATGAGGTGGCTGAGTACATACATCATGGCAGCCAGCCAGGAGGCAGAAAACAGGAACAGAAACAAGGCTGGGTTATGCCACCTTTAAAGCCTCTCTCCCAGTGTCATCCACATCAACCAAGCCCCACCTTCTAAAAGGTTCTACAACCTCTGAAACAGCACCACCCGCTGGGGAACAACTGTTTGAGCATGAAAGCCTAAGGGGCACATGTCACACTCCCATCAAAACATCATAGCAAAAGGGATCCTTTCCCCAAGGTATAATCCTTATCAGGAATCACTTTGGGTGCTGGAGAGATGGCTCAATTGGTAAGAGCACCTGTTGTGCAAACATGAGGACCTGAGTTCAAATCCCCAGCACCCACATAAAGAGCCCAGCATGGGTGTGCCTGCCTGTAACCCTAGCTTTGGGAGACAGAGACAGGTGGATCCTAGGAACTCAGCAACTATCCAGTCTAGCCTAAACAGTGAGCTTCCAAATGAGAGACTCTGTCTCAAGACAACGAAGTGGGGAGTAAAAGAGGTAGATACCTGATGTCTTCCTCTGTCTTCCACAGGTCCACACACAGGTGCATGAACTCACACTCACATGCATGCACCACACCAATATACTAAACACACACACACACACACACACACACACACACACACACACACACACACACACGAATTGCTTTTTTTCTTTTTCATTTCAAAAGTGGGTGTGTGAATGTTGAGCCTAAAAAGGCTTCAACATGAGGCCCACTGTAACCTCCTAAGCCTGGCTAGAGTTTGGCGACCTGTCCTTGGCCTGTAACCTCCACATGGGAGTGACTCAGCAAGGCCTGATGTAAGACTGCCCCCTGCCTAGCTACCTATCAGCTTGGTGGAATATTATTGGCCCCTACTCCTCACGTTACCTTACCCCATCCCAAGATTCCCATCCCTACCTCAACGCTATATAAGTTCCTGCCTGTTATAATAAAACAAGATCCTGCTTCGACAAGTCTCCTACTCAGTGTGTTTCTGCCCAGTAACTAGGAAGGGGTCTGGGTCATTGACACTCACCATCCCACTCAGCCCCAAGGGAGTGACCTGTGGGACCCGTTCTCCCTCAGCTCTACCTGCTGGAAAACCCCAGCATGTGAACATCCATTTTCAGGAAGTTAAGTAGATATATTCTACATACATCTTCCAAAACAGGCAACTAAAATTTGGGGTCATTATATATAAAATAAATATAAGAAGCTATAGATAAGTCAACAGAGTGGATAGCAACTTCAAAACTTAAGGGAAAAAATGATGAGGTCCACAAATATTCCTTTGCCTTCACACATTCCAAGATTGGAAGTGAATTAGTTAATAACACATATACACTACCACTAAGAAAAGATCATTAAAAAAAAAGGAAGTCTGCTCTCCCTATCCAAAGGGTCAGGACAGACATCAAGACGAATACATTTTCACATGGCAACTGCATTATTGCAGTAAACTGCCAACCAAAGTGCCCCCTCTACCAGTAAAATGGAAAGCACAGAGGAAAATCCAGCCATGGATTGTCAGTAGAACAATATAGTCGATCTGATACGAGAACAATATAGACAATCTGATATGAACAAGAGAAAAGAGCTCCTGGGATCTCTGGAACAAAGCCAAACATTCAACATTCAAGACAACAAAGTAACCAAAGAAATAAGATCCAAAATGTGAGCAAATTTGGCAAGAGGCATAACTGGGGAAGCCTAGTGAATCTCCAATAGGATGAGACCTAAGAAATCCACATCTGTACATGTCCTAAGTAAAAGTCATGCAAACCAAGAGAAAAGCAAATAATCATGAAACCCCACAGAGAAAATGGCGCACAGAGAAAAACTAAACAACATCAAATCCCTCACTAGAAACCCTAAAGTCAGGGAAAGCCAAGGGTAAAGAGTTACTATCAACCCAGGATTCTATAACTAGTAGAACTAGTCTATAAAAGATAAAGACAAAAACAATACATTTACATAAAAAGCTAAGACTATGTCTCAGGCAGACTTACCCTAAAAGGACTAATGGGACGTGTGTGGGTTAGTTTTCTGTCAACTTGACAAAACCTAGAGTCACTGGGGAAGAGGACACTTCAGTTAAGAAACTACCTCCATCAAACTGACGTATAGGCAAGTCTGTGGGGCATTTTCTTGATTAATGATTCATATGGGCAGGCTCAGCCTACTGTAGATGCTGCCACCCTTGAGCAGCTGGTCCTAGAAAGTCTAAGAAAGGTAGCTGAATGAGAGCCTGAGGAGCAAGCAGCGTTCTTTCATGGTCCCTGCTTCAGTCCCTTCTTCTAGGTTCTGCTTGAGTTCCTGCCCTGACTTCCCTTCATAGTAGACTGAAAGCTGTAAGATGGAATACTCTCGCATGCTCAAGTCCTTTTGGTCATGGCCTTTCTACCAGTAACAGAAAGCAAACTGATCCACTGACCCACAGCTGTCTTTACTGTACTAGGGCCATGAGCAAGCATACAGAGTGCTTAATAAAGCTCAAACAGAGTCTGGTTTGCTCCTAACTTTCACACAGCACCAGATGAGAAGCTCCCCCTCCAACATCAACTGCATGTTTTAGGCTGTACAAAAGTAGATTAAATATAATAGCTAAGCCATGCACTGAAGACAAACAGACTTTATAAGAAGTCAAAAGAGTCATGAACCACTTACTACAGAAATGAAAATTCTATACAGAGCTGTTCACATTAAACTGGAACAAGGAAAAAGCCAATATGGCAACTCCATTTAATACTACAACTAAGAAGATTAAAAAAAAAAAACACAGAAGAATCCAGAGTAATAGAAATCCTAAGTCAGGACACAGAAGAAAACATCATGTTTTATATTAGAAAAATATGGTTGAAACACTTGCAACTAGATGGTTAAAAATACAATAATGTAGGATATGAATAATGCCACAAATTAAAATCCAAAATATTCTAGAACTAATAGAGTAGAAACAAGAAACAGACTGATCAGGATTGAGAATCAAATTGACAGGAGGCTTAAGACAATCAGGTTTAAAGAAAAAGAAAAAATTTTAAGTGGTCAAATAAATAGATGAAAAGGAAAAAAAAAATGATCCATTATAAGTTGGTTTGTGACTGCTATTACTGTGGTGGTCTGAATGAGAATGGCCCCCACAGACTTGATCTCCAGTTGGTGGCTGTTTAGGAAGGATCAAGAGGTGAGGTGGTTTGAATAAAAATGGCCCCCATAGGCCCATAGCTATTAGGAGGTGTGGCCTTGTTGGAGTGGGTGTGGTTTTGTTGGAGGAGGTGGGTCACTAAGGGGTGAGCTTTGAGGTCTCAGAAGCTCAAGCCAAGCTTGGCCACTGTGTCACAGTCTCCTCCTGCCTGCCAATCCAAATGTAGAATTCTCAGCTGCCTGTGTGTGGCCAGGCTTCCCACTATGATGACAATGGACTAAAGCTCTGAACTGTAAGCCAGCCCCAGTTAAAGGTTTTCCTTTATAAGAGTTGCCATGGTCATTGTGTTTCTTCACAGCAATAGGAACCCAAATTAAGACAAAGGATGTGTTTCAAAAGCCTCCTGCCAGTCCTCAGGGTGCTCTCTGTCTCCTGCTTGAGACATGAGCTTTTGGCTGTCCTGCCACCCATGCCTTCCCTGGCCATCATGGACTCAAACCATCTGGATCCCTAAGCCCAAGTTAATGCTTTCTTTCATAAGTTGCCTTGGTCATGGTTTGTTTTAGCAATAGAAAAGTAACAAAAATGATTAGGGGGGGGTGAGAGTAAATGTGCAGATCAGAAAGGTATACAATGTTCCAAAAAAAACAGATACGTTTTTGGTTGTGAGCCTAGCCTTTAACCGCTGAGCCATCTCTCCAGCCCTGGCTGGAGAGCCCTGGCTGGAGAGCTGGCTCAGCAGCTAAGAGCACCAACTGTTCTTGTAGAGGATCCAGGTGTAGTTCTAGCACTCACATTGCAGCTCACAACAATCTGTGACTCCAGTTCCAGAGGATCTGATGCCTTTTTGTGGACTTGCTAAAATTCCTTCCCCCAAAGGAGAGATAAGCAACATATACCCTTTCTAAGCCCAAAGACAAACTGAGGCATGATTCCACCAAAGTTCACTCCAGGGAACCAATGAGTTTACTATGCCTCCTTCCAGAGCATAGGTAAGGGGTTACTTGCAGGGGTGTGGGTACCCCTCCCCCAACAGGCCACACCTGAAAAGTATTACCTAGCAGGGATGAAAGCTTCCCTGTACCCATGATTGGAGACACCCTCCCCTACTCTTTCCCAGCCTGTATACTCTAACACCCCCCGAAGGCCACAAAAAATAAGGCAGAGTTGTACACAACAGGTAGTAGGGAGGGGCTGGGTACTCAGGTGAGGGTCTCCGATGGTCTCTGCCCCTCTCTGCCCCTCTAGGAGGGATCAAAAAGTCCAGCTTGGATGATCTTATGCAAGGGAACAAATCTGAACACCCCAAGAGGGAGGTTGCTTACCTCAGAGGCTCAGAATAGGCCTCCCTGGGCACCAGGCACACACATGGTGCGCACACATGAATATTTTAGTGACAGAGAAGAAAGCTAGGGAGATGGCTATTACTAAACTGGTGTTCAAGCATAATAACTTGAGTTCAGGTCCCCATCACCCACTTAAAAAGCCAGGCACTCCTGCATGAGCCTGTAATTCCAGCATGGGGAAGGAGAGACAGGAAGTTTGCAAACCAGCCCCATCTAGCCAATGAGAGAGCTCCAAGTGAGTGACCTTGTCTCAAAACAATGAGAAGAAAAACTAAACAGACATCCAGAGTAGACCCTTGAGCTTCACAGGCAAGTGTACACACAGGCACATGTGCACACACATAAACATGTACACACACACACACACACACACACACACACACACAGACATTGTGATTAAGTGACAAAAATGTAATCATCCTAACTCAGATAGTGGGTATAGCAACAAATAGATAAATGTAAAATAAGTTTTAGGTACTGTACCAACATGATGCTGAATTCCAGATACAACTTAAGAAATTAGATATTTGTGTGTGGAAAAGCTTTGAGCCATTTCAGGGCCACTTTCAATTCCATTTCAGGGTTGTTTGTTACTTTATGAAAATCAAATAAAACCAAATTTAAATACTGAACAGGTATCTCCTCTGGCATGGGTCTCTTACTGAATTGCTTATCTGTGTATTCACTCTTATTTAAAAAGATTTTTATGTTTACATATCTGGGGAAGGTCATGCAGGTGCCATGGTACACACGTGGAGAGCAGAAGACAGCTTGGGGGAGTGAGTTCTCCATTCCACCACATGGGTCCTCAGAACTGAACTCGGTGACATGCTTGGTGGCAAGGCCCTTTACCCATTGAGTCATCTGAAAGCCTTGTGTATCCATTCTTAAATCTGTATATATGCAAAATGTACCTGCAACTCGGCCACCGTTTGATATTAGTAATGGTTGCGTATGGCTTGCTAATAGGAATTTTTATTTCTTTTGGTAGTGAGCTTCTTGGCTTGGTTGGAATTCTTTTTAAGAAGCAGGTGCTGCTTTTATAAAATAGGTTGTATCAGTAGGTCTATTAAATTTTAGTAGTAAATCAAACTTTTCAAAAGACAAACCAAGGGAATTCTCTTAAGAAAGTTCCCAATAAGTTTTGACCAGATTTATATGATAGACAAATGTTAAAGATGAATCCATAGGGCTTTTCTGTCAGTATCACTCTTCCTTAATTGAAAACAGTGACTACAGAACAAACAAAAGACGTAAAACTTTCTTGCAACAAACTGAACTAGCAGTTTGTTAAAAAAACAGTACATTGATTTCAACTCTTCCTTCCTATAATTTTATTTTATCGCAGGCAAAAATCTCAATTCAATCACTTTACTAGACACATATATTCACTAGTGTTACATAAAATTTTATATAAAGTTAAGTAAGAATTAAAAGTATAGCTAAAAGATGAGTGGTGATCTGTGTGCAAGGTGTCATCTTGTACACTCTCACCCCTGAGAGAGTTCTTTCTTCTATTGAGGGTTATTTCTTGGCTTTAGCCTCATTTTTGCTTTAGGGACAACATGGCCTCTTCTTCAAGCTCGATTGGTACTGCCTGGCCACTATACAACTGTGTGTTGACCCAGTGGTACCTGTCCACCCGTCGTCCAGCCAGCCTGCACCATTTAGGGTTCCTGGTCACTGGGTGGTAAGCAGTTCCCAGGAGGCCCCCACGACCATCTGCCAAATGTTTTCTACGAGGAAGGCAGAACCACGGTTGGAAGGACTGTTTGAAGTTTCCAACCTGGGAAGGAAAAAGACAGGGAAAACAATGTGTGAAGGTCACTGGACTGATAGACAGCTCTTAAGACTATTAGCCCATAACTCAAAAGTGAAGTCCTTCTAAATCATAGGGATTACAAATTAAGAAAATCAATGTAAATAGTCATCTACAGAAAATTTTCCAGCATTTCATATCCCTTAGAGATCATCAATTCACATCTCTAAGCAAAATGATTTTTTTCTTTTGTTTTTCTTTCATGTGTATGGGTGTTTTGCCTGAATGTATGCCTGTACCATGTGCATGCCTGGTGCCATTGAGACCAATGGAAACCAGAAGAGAGTGTCAGATTCCCCATCACTGGAGGTACAGTTAGTTATGAGCCACCCTGTTCATGGCTGTGTTCACTATTGAACCTGGGTCCTCTGTGCAAGAGCAGGCAGCTCCCTTAAATGCTAAGCCATCTTTCCAGCCGCTAAAATGAATTCTTAAGTGAAACCAAAAATATTTAGGCTATGTTATAATAAGGCCTTTAATGCCAGTTACTTGGAAAGCTGAAGTAGGAAATTCAAAAGTTTAACGCCTGCTTAGGGAAATTAGTGAGACCCGCCCTCAAAAAGACGACATAATGAGATGGGGCTGGAAACTCCACTGAATACCTAAGTAGATACCTATCATGCTAGGTTCAATCCCCAGCACCACACACAAAAAGAACAGAAACATAAAGCATTTCAAATGCATCTCTCTCTCCCTGGGTTCATCCTTACCCTGCTCCCTCCTGACCCCTGCCAGCCCATTCCAAAACTGCCTAAAAAATGGTATCTGGGGTCAGACCCATTATAAACATCCCAGATAATTGACAAAGATGTTTTATAGACCACACTCTAAAAAGACATTACCATAGAACAGTTTAGCCTCCTACAGATATGAACCCTAGATGCAAAGGTTCCTAAAAATAAAGTGTTGTATAGTTTTAAACTGCTACACACACACACACACAGAGAGAGAGAGAGAAAGAGAGAGAGAGAGAGAGTTTTTTTAAACTAAAGGAAAATATTTTCCAGTAATGTTTCTGACCCATAATATATGATAATACATAAGGACTTCAAAATAAATTTCATGAAAAAATTTGAATATTTAATTTTGTTAGTGCAATCTACTACAGGGATTATTCCTCAGATTACTTGATTTTTATTAGAACAGGAAAATTTTAGAAAAAATGGTAAAGCAGATATTAGAACTAGTGAAAAATTAAAACTACAGCTTTCTACTAGGTACTAGGTATTAGGAATCAGTAAACTATCCACATTTAATGGCCTGGAAATTTCATGTTTGAGAATCAACTCTTAAGAAATAACTTCAATTTAGCCGGGCATTGGTGGCGCATGCCTTTAATCCCAGCACTCGGGAGGCAGAGGCAGGCGGATGTCTGTGAGTTCGAGACCAGCCTGGTCTACAAGAGCTAGTTCCAGGACAGCTTCCAAAGCCACAGAGAAACCCTGTCTCAAAAAAAAAAATCTTTTTGGTTTTTGTTTTGTAACAAAGCAATGTGGAGGCAAAATACTGGCTGGTAACTGTTAGAAGGAAAATAACTGAATACTAACGTAAATGGTTAAGACAAAAGCATGCATACAAATTATTTGAGAGAGAATCTCTTCAGATTTGTTTTTTCGAACAGGTCATGAAATCAATGTAAGATGCCTGTTATTATCTACTGAACACAGAAGTATTGGAGGCTCCTAGTATGTATGATTATCATCTCATGCAACTTCAATATAAATGTGAATCTCTATTGATGGGTTTTGATTCTATTGGTTTTGATGGTTTCAGTGTTTTGTTTTTCAGATAAGCTGCGTTGAAACTGGCTATGGCTTTTTAAAAAGATTATTATTGTTTTGTTTTGAAAACAAACTGCCCTAGTGCTAAAATGAAAGTGTTCTGGTCTTTCTTAAATAGTCTAAGCTTTCTCTAGATGACATGTCATTTTAATTAATCAAATCTACTAAATTGAGTGAGGAGGCATATACCTCTAATCACAGCGATCAAGCAGGTGACAGGCAGGAGAATCAGATGTTACAGGCCAGCCTGGGCTATTTAGGGAGTCTCAGACTTACAAACAAAACCCACTAAGTATTACAGTTTAACCTGAAGGAACATAAGTGAAAGGAAAGCCATGTACTTCCAAGTACTATGTGAAGAGACAGGACAACAAAAGATCATGTCTCTTACAAACTAGGTCAAGTGGTGACAATACTCAGGGTAGGACGACAGAAAAGGTTCTGACATTGGGAGGAGGTGCTTTCACTGTTTCCTGCTGTTGCTTGGGAGCATGTTCTTTCAGAATTAGAATAGCATGGTGTACCACACACAACCTGGTAGATGCTCTTGGGATTGTTGACTTTGGGAATGACTCGGGACTCATTTTCTTCATCAGAAGATGTTCCAGAAGAGCAGTCTCCAGCAGCTCTGTTAACTGCGAAGCTGATGTGCTGAGCTAGTTCCCAGTTCTCCCATCTGCCTTTAAAAGAAGCAATTGTAAAGGGATGCTTTTTCTCACCATACCTATGTAGGAAAAGAAAATATTCGTTAGAGACCCAACAAATATGATCTCTTTGTCTGGAGACACCACATCAACTTTAACTTTTAAAAAGCTGTTTTTCAAGAGCTTGGCTCTTTTAAAAAGCAGACTGGAGGACAATATAACCTGAAGCTACTAGGATGTTGCAATTAGTGAGCATATCCTTAGACAGCTATTCTGTTAAACTGGTCAGAAAAAAAAAAAAAAAAAAAACCACACACACACACACACACACACACACACACACACACAAAACCACACACACACACACACACACACACACACAAATAAACTTTTTGTTTCTTTTGGGTAGTTGATGGAGTGAACTGTCCTCTGATTTAGCTGATTCCTCTGCCTTCCTTGTGTTTCCTACCTATGCTTAAGAGTTGTAAATCTGCAGTACGCTGTAGGTTGCAATGACCCAAGTCACACTGCAAATACACTGCAGTGCCTTTGTGCTTGCCAATTCAACCATCCCTAATGGTTTACTAGACTGCTCTAGTAAAAGTTTACATCTGAAGCCATGATCAAATAGTGTCCTAGTTGCTAAGCCAATGCTTTGGGTGTCATCTTTCACAAACATACATAGAACTCACTAAACATCCCAAGTTTCCAAGGGGTCACCAAGCACACAAACCATGAAATTACTCACCTACAGCACACCTCAAAGGGATCAACCCATATCGTCATCTCCTTTGGAAGTCCCAGGTGAAAAAAATTCACATTGCTCTCAGAACAAGCCCTTTCTAAAATAGGGTCTTTATACTCATTGTTGTTTATCCTGATACACCTGAGAAGAATATAAAGCAAGAAAAGGGGCAAGGAGGCATGTTAAGAGGTACTTCAGCTGGAAATCTCATCATGGGTACAGATCTTGCCTTACCCACCTCTTCTCATCCTCCCCTGCCCTCCATGCTTACAAATGGAAATAAAACTTCATTCACTTTTGCTACAGTGACTCAGAATGGGTGTCATAACATTAAATCACAGTTAGATCACCAGATGTCCACAGTCTGTCTTTTATGGCAAACAGATGCGAAATTGTCTAATGCTCCTCACTTACAGGTCTGTAGTGTTCAACTATCCACACCTCTTTATTTTAGACCTATGTTCAAACAAATTAATAGGAGCTCATAAAACATCCCTAACTTGCTGACAGACAAAAAAAAAAGTTGCATTTTCCTAGCAGATGCTATTTCTGGCTGATTACTCCTCCCCCCATGCCATGTGAGCGCTCACCTGAAAGCCTGTCCCCTAGAAGGACAGTCAGGGTGCCAATGACCTCTGTATTTTTCAAACAAGATGGTCATCAGCTTTAGTGCGAAAGCTTCTATCTGTTGTGCACTCAATTTCTCGTGTTTTTTCACCAGTCTTGTGACAAAAAAAACTGCTGTTGCAATTTCATCTCTCATGATTCCAAAGCAGTCTGTGTGGAGACCTGAAACCATCACAGAAAGGGATCACAGAGGGAATGAGGTTTCATTTATCAGCAATACATAATTTTCAGGCTGGAAATTTTATACCCATTAAACTTAAATCGTTTTTTTTTTTTTGTGGGGGGGGGGGGGAGTCCTCAGTGAGCTAACACATCAACAGGCACACACCAAAAAAAAAAAGAAAAAGAAAAAGAAAAACCAAGTAACAACAACAACAACAAAAAAAAACACACACCTATTCTTCAACCTTCCTGTTCTCACACTTTTCCAAAAAAATGTTTTTAAAAGTTTAAGATACTTATGAAATCAAGATAAAACATAAGTACAAAGCTACTAATGTGGACAGTAGATTTCACCAGCAACCATTTTTTAAGAGTGTACTTACAAAGAGTCAAGCATCCAGGGTTCAGGGGATTGCAGTTGAGGAACGTGGATTACAAAAGCTGCACACTAAAAGTTAAGACTAATAAAAACACACTACAGTTGCCAGTAAAATTTCTCTAGTTCCCCCCAAAAAAAGTGGGCCAGCGTTAGAAAGCCAGCTCTACTACTTGTTGCTAACTCTTGCTCACACCTGTTTGGTGAGGTTTGGGCTACTCCATATATGCCTGGCTGTCAAAGCTGATTGGCAGCTCATCCCACACAGGCAGTCTCCATTAGGACAATCACACAGCTTTCCCCAGGACTCATCTGATTCCCCCATAGAAATGTAGACTATTCTCTAGACTGTTTAAAGGTATAGCCACTCTACGTGTGTGTGTTTAATACCCACAATTAGTGACCAGTTTCTGACTAAGAAGCCTATTTTATATCCAAAAAGCTCCAAATAGCAGCTAGACCTTACAAGGAGACAATTCCATCACTTGGATGTTGTACCTATGCAACCTAGTCTTCCACACTGGAACTATGCAGATTACATGTAATCCTCCATCAAGGAGTGGGGGGGGGTATTCTAAATATTAGCTATTTGGCTTCCCAAGTCTTCTCTTTTTAGAGTCTAAATTTTCTCAGCTTGTTGGCAGCTGTTTCTTGTGGATATATTGCTCAGATAGTGCAGTGTGGCAAGCTGGCATTTGGATGAGCATCACACTGTGTGACAGACTCACATCCTCTTTTAAAGTATTTGCTCACACTGCTCCAGGTGTGTCAGCTGGTAAGCACTAGAGTGGGACTGCCACCTCCCTTGCCCTGAACACTGTCCTTGGATGCAGCATCAGGTGGCCTCCCCTTGTTGGCACCAACATCATCACGTCACTACCTCACACTGAATTTGAAAGTACACTTTTTTTTTTCCACTGAGGTTTTGTCACATCTTCCTCTTCCAACATGGCAAAATGTTTAAGAAGTCTGTGAATTTGCAACTTAGCAGCTCACAATCTGTTAGCTAAGTGTGGTGACGGCACACCTGGAATCGAAGCTCTCAAGAAGGCTGGGTGGGAATGGAGGAGCTTCAGTTCAGGAGGCAGCTGGGCTACATAATGAGTTCTAGAACAGACTTTGTCTCAAAAACAAAACAAAAAAGAAAAGAAAAAAACATAAAGCTGGGTGTTGGTGGCGCACGCCTTTAATCCCAGCACTCGGGAGCCAGAGGCAGGCAGATCTCTGTGAGTTCCAGGCCAGCCTGGTCTCCAGAGCGAGTGTCAGGATAGGCTCCAAAGCTAACACAGAGAAACCCTGTCTCAAAAAAAACAAAAAAAAAAAAAAGAAAGAAAGAAAAGAAAAGAAAAAAAACATAAAACAAAAGCCTCACTATCTGCATAATCTTGGCAGCTGGTTTCAAATATTCATAACTTTCAGTTTCCTGTCAGTGAATGCAATTTCACAGGCTTGTTATCAAGATTACAGTAGATAACTAATACACCTGGCCATAAGCTGCAGGAAGGTACTATAGAAGAACCATTAAAAAGAAAATAGCAAGCAGATATAAAGTCAGTATTGTGGGTTGGAATCCCAGGCCTCCATCTCATTAGGAACTTAGCAAAGTTCCACATGCTCTCTAACCTTCCCAACCTCTGCCTGAAAAGACGGGAATAAAGTGAGTGAAGAACTAGACTGTTGACTCCACACTAATCCTTCGCACTGAGATGGATCCCAGCTCAACCCAGGGCTTGGACCTTAGCAAGTGATTCCACCACTCTGTCCCTCCATTTCCTCATGTACACAAAGGAGAAAATAACAGGGCACAGTTTGTATAGTTATTATGAGAATTAAGTGTGAAATGCTTAGGATACCTGGAACTCAGTAAACGCTCTATAAATGTTGGGTATTGTTGCTTCTGCTAGCAAATTGACTGTGATCTTAGAGGGATCTTGCCAAGGTTAAATTATAAAATTGTGCATGAAGTATTTCATAGACCACCTGGCATAAAGTTCTCAAAGTGGCTGGCTGTCTCATTTACAAATACAAATGATTTTGTACCTTTTTTTCTATGCCAATTTTAATGTGCATTGGTTAGGTAGGATAGAAAATTATATATTGCAGCTGTAATATCATATTCCACTGTGTTGCTTCACTGATGTATTTGAAGTGCTGAAGTGGAACCCAGGGCCACATGGATACGAGGCAAGTACTCGACCAAGGAGCCATATTTCCTGTGCATGTGTTACATTTAGGTCATTGCTACAGTGAATCAAAATTTTGTTATTTAGTTATTTAGTCGATTATCTCTTTTGGTTTCCTGATATTTGTGTATTTAGTAAGAATACTATCTGTGCCTTCCAAGATACAAGTTGAACAGGATGAAGACCAAGCAGAGCCTTTCACAAAGTCTTAAGCATTGCCCCCTCCAACTGCCTTTCTTTCTCTTCAACCAATTAATTCTCTCAGCTACAGTGGAAAGAGTCAGTGGTAAAATGAAGATTTCACAGATTACTTTTCAAATCTAGCAACATTTTCTTACTCTGTGAAGAGAAGAGTACTACCATAAAAGGAGAAGGAATTTTAACCAGACATGGCCCTCTTGTCCTAAGTAATCCCAACTTTCACAATATATAGGAACCACCTGATTGGTAAGAGTTGAGAGCTTGGGGTCAAGATAGCTGGTGTACAATTTAAGTTGCCTACCATCTTCCCTTTTCATGAAAACTGATTCCTTTGGTTCAATTCACAGCAACTCTGAAGGACCACTGTTTCTCTACAGTTTCCTGAAAGACAGGCCAAAGCCCCTGCCAAAACTTGGTCATTGATTGTGTCTCCCTCTATTTTTCACTTCCCTAAAGCCTCCCACCTACAACTCCCAACTCAGAGTCTGTTTTAAAGGACCCAGTCTCAGACTTTTGGTACTAAGTATGTGAAGAAGCAGAGTCTATTTACTCACTTTCTGTCTGAAATAACTCATGACTAGGGGAAGTAGAATATGGGTCTGGATAGCTCCTGTCATGTTGGAAGGGCATGAGTATCAAAATTCAGCAGTGGTAGACTAAGATATAATACAGATGCTGCAGACTGTCCTAGACATTGAATATCCTTGAGGCATTAGATGTATAAAAATAAAAATGGTATAAGGACCACTAAACTAGATAAGGACCACTAAAATAGAGAGCTGAGTACTTTGTCACCTCAAAATGGGCATCTATGATCAAATTAAAGTTAATTCAGTTCAATTCAGGATTTATATGGGTTCTATGTCCAGAACATATGAAAACAAAGCAAAAGTGATACTAGGACTTGAATGATCTACCCTCTCAGGATCTTATTTATTTCAGTCATCCATGATGTATTTCTCATTCTTTACTCATAAGAGAGGTTACCAAACTACTATGCTTTGGAATCACCTTTAAAGTACTGAAGGCTGCCTCCTCTGACACCATGGTTGAACAAGAAATAAGTAAAACCTATGCATCAGTGTTTTATTTAATTTAGAGAATACTTTATTAGTTTCTGCAATAAAACCCTATAAATAAGACCTTCCATATTTGACACAGTGTATTACCCCTGTACAAATGGAAAAAAAATAAGTTTAATATTTCTACACCAAGATGGCGGTTAATATCTGTAAATGCCAACTCAATGTGGTAAATTGGGACGATTTTTCCCAAAGCTGACAGCACAGCAATGCTCCAGAAATTCCAAACACACACACACACACACACACACACACACACAGAGAGAGAGAGAGAGAGAGAGAGAGAGAGAGAGAGAGAGAGAGAGAGACACAGACATAGATGTCCAATAACAGACTGTCATGCATCAGTAGCAGCAACTACTTTTCCAGGTTCTTCAGTCATTTGAATGAAATTGAACAGATGCCAGCACTCAATATCAAGATTTTTAAAAGCTCCCCAACTGGTTTAATGTGCAGCACAGGAAAAAGTCATTAACACAAATCTCACCTTGCTATCAGTGAGATTTTATATCATATTACATGTTTAACTGCTTAACAATGCCTTAAGAGATTATTATGATATTTCCTATTCTCGTCTCCTTTTGTCATCTTCCAGGCTTTTCAAAGAATATTTTTAATTGTGTTAGAAACAGAAAAACCAAAAATTCAGACTCACTGCATATTGCTGAAATAGAACTTGCTTTTGAACTCAAGGCAACATAGACATTAACAAACACAGGCTTTGCCTTTGAAAACGCCTGCTGTTTACATTATTAAATCAATGGCGCCAGGTGTTTACTAGTTCTTTTCTGATTTCACCTTCCCAGATGATATGCTGTCAGCTACACTGAGTTGGTGAGGCACATTCACTTAGGAGGTTCTGAACCTTCCCCTAGCATTATTTTCGGCAACAGGTCCAAGCAGGCCTTGGGAAGCATGAATAGAATGATCGTTCAGGAAAGAACAATCAGAGAGTAAACATCATGCAAAACTTCCTTCAGTTGCTTGTGACTTCGAGCACCTGATCTCAGTTGCCCCCTTCCCATGAATGACATCTGCTCCTCCTGCTTTGCTGACACTGAGTTCCCTCTGACGACCCATTGACATTAGACATCCATCGTGTGCGCTAAGTGGGTAAAACAAAACAAAAGGCAACTCAACCTTCCCTTTCCAAGAGAT